GCCTCAGCATGGCCGGAGAAGCAGTGCATCGGTGCGCACCCAGGATCCGAACCAGGGCTGCCAGTAGCAGAGCGCGCGCACTTAACCGCTAAGCTAGGGGGCCGGCCCAGGCAATTGCACTTTTGAGTACAGCCCTAGAGCAGCAGTTGGCACGCTACAGCTGGTGGACAACTTTGTAAATAAAGTTTTATTGGCACATATCCATGCCCATTCATTTATCTACTGACCGGACCATGGCTGCTTTCACACTAGCATAGCAGGGTAGAGTAGCAGTGACAAAGATGACAATTAGTCATCCAGAGGAGTAAGAATGTGGGTGTGTGTTAAATTCTTTCCTATAACTTCAAAATTTTACAAAATAAAAAAAAAATGTTTTTTTGAAACAACAATTTGGCTGGGCAGGGGAAGTCTGGTGGTTTCCCTTCGGGGGCCTGTGGGAAATTGGCAAGGCTGGGCCGTCTTTACCTGTCGGCTGCAGAGGTCGCCCAGAAAGAACTGCACTTGGGGACTGTCGAACCCTTGCCGCATATCGAATACATTGACAGTGTAGCCTCTTGCCAGCAACTGCTCCACCATGTGCTGTCCCAGGAACCCAGAGCCCCCGATCACGGTGCATTTCTTGGCCTGTGGACAGAGAGGGATAGCAGGGGGACCAGTGTGATGAGAACTGGAAGCTATAAAAAGCCTGGACTCACACGTCGCGAGCCACTGTAATGGCAGGTCCCTCTCTGTTCATTTGTTCAAAACTCTTCTCGAGCCAAGTTGGAAGCTTTATATGATTCTGATGTTCTATGGACTCCTCTCCTGGGATCAGTAAGGAGGGAGGAGAGATAGCAAATGATACTGAGACAGACTTCGGCTGGATTGAATGATCCAATACATACTGTGTGTTTAGTGAAAGGAAAAGGAGACATCTCTAAAAGAAATTAAACCACCTATGATCAAAACTGGACAATCTAAAAACAAAAGAACTGAAAGTGATACCATCTGGCTCCCAAACCAAAACAAAACACGCCACCCACTCAACTGACAGTGTGCACTTAAAACATCAGAAAGAAGAAAGCATAGTTTCCATACTTGCCAGAGAAAGTCAGCGCCCTTTCCTCCCCGACTGCTACGGGGCTGGGCTGTGCGGCTTCGGGCTTGTTGCCTTAGTTTATCCATCTAAGACCATGTAGCCATCTGATGGGGTCTCCGAGCGGGGCTGCAGTGAGGACCGACCGGTGAGCTGTTATACAGCTGGCCTAGGGCTTTGCTTTCCCTTCTCTGAGCTCTGAGGAAGTTGATGAATCAGGGGAGAGCTATGGTGCTTCCATTCCAGCTTCTATAATGTGTGCACTTTCTTGGTTAACTTCCAACTCTGGTCACTGGGGCTAATGGAAGGACAGCACACCATATGCAGGCACTTAAATAGTCAGACTCCAGGGAGTCAATGCAAACTTGTGGCTGCTGCATGCAGATTAAGCTGGCTCCAAGTGGCCCCAAAGGAGGACCTGTGATCTCCCTTCTCCCTGGGATCTTTCTAAAACCATATCTGGGCTACCTTAAGATGACAAATCCCCATTTTTCCTAAGCTCATGAATAATAAATCAAAGTTGGGGTGTGTGGAAACTAAATATCTTAAAGAAATTCTGTTCCTGATTAAAAAACCAACCAACCAACCAACCAACCAATCCCTGACTTATTCCTCAAATACCTATACGATTAAGATATACAGGAGATGCAAGGGGCGCCAGGGCCCCTTCTGCAGATCTGCCCCTCCCAACCTGGTGTCCCATCTGGAAAGGCATTTTTACTGGAGTCCACTGGACCTGCAGTTGTAGCATCATCTGTTCAGGCACGCGTAATCTACTGACCTAATTGGCCCCACTATTCCACCTCCTGTAAATGATCTTCTCAACCCCTTCTCGTCCACACTTTGTTTTGCTTGTTCCCACATACACATCATCAGACCATGCTAAATCATTTGTACTTTGACTGAAACTCCTAAGATCTCCCCAGGGCACAGGCAACTTAAATGCCCAAATCCCATTTGATCCTCTTGTCAGCAATACCCTCTCCTGTCCTTCTCCCAAGTCAGCAGTCCAGACACATGCGGTTTTTCAGAATAACTCCGAGCCTCCCTGCTTTCCAACCTGATTTTTCTTGGCTTACCAAAAGTCTGCCTGAGCTCAAAGAGGGTCAGAACTAGAGATGTTTTGATAGCATCCCAAAGGATTTCAGATTCTCTTGTTTATATTATCTATCTCTAGTTACAGTTGTTTAAAAAGGTTGATAGTCTAATATTTTAAAAAAATCAAATAACTTTACTATTATGTCCAGTGCAATTTCATTTCATGATTTTAAATGTGAGCAATCTGTATTTCTCTCTTGGACAGAGCGACGTGGATTCTTTATTTATACTGAAATGTTGTGCCAATATTGCTTGGAACGACTGGGGCAATGGTTGTTCCACAGTTTTGTAATGATGAGAACTGAATCAGCATCTACCCCAGAGAAATCAGATGTGTGAAGGGGCAATGTCTTGAATCACACCTATAATGCTATGCGGTTAGCGGAGCTCATGGGAAATAACCACTTAATTTTCATGCCCATAAAGGATGATGCAGGGGAAGTGGGCACAGTGGACAAGAAGGAATACATGCTAACAAGTAAGAATGAAACTCCAGACTGGAAACAGGGAGCAAGACTCAAAAATGGGTTACTGAAGGGAGCTATAAAATCAACATCTTGGAGAGAGTTTTAATAGGAAAGAAAGCATCTAGACAAACTATCTTAATTGCAAAATGATCTTGAGTTAAGAAATTGGTCTAGGTCACTGAGTTTCCTCCAACCTTTTCTGTTTTCCTTTGTCTTGAGCAGTGGGCCTCCTTTTTCAGAGAAGTCTTATACAGAACGTATATATAAGTTAAGATGAAAGTGTTCTTTCTATTTTAGTAATTTAAATTTATAACTTTTACTTCCTATAAAGTCAATCAATGAGAAAGAACAACCATTGATACAACCACTGGAATCTAGATTTTTTTTGGTTGCTGAGTATCAGTAAAATCCTAATTTACACAAATAAGGAACTACAGATGGCAGGTGGCTCTGCTGGTTTGTCTGAACACTAGAATCTCAGATTAACCTTCACCTGCAGAGGCACAGAGGACGCTTTACTCTGAGCTCTACACCAAAACCACGGTGACCTGGTGGCCCACGGCAACCTCCTGGGGATTTTGATATAAACACCTTTTACCTTGGCATGATTAAATTTCTGAAGCATTAGCATTTATTAAAAGTGAACCAGAGCCAGCCCTGATAGCCTAGTGGTTAAAGTTTGGCACTCTCTGCTTCAGCGGCCTGGGTTCAGTTCCCAGGCATGGAACTACATCACTCTTCTGTCAGTAGCCATGCGGTGGCGGTAGCTCACATAGAAGAACTAGAAGGACTTACGGCCATAATATACAATTACATACTGGGACTTTAGGGAGGGGGAAAAAAAAGGAGGAAGATTGGCAACAGACATTAGCTCAGGGAAAATCTTGCCCAGCAAAAAAAAAAAAAAGTGACTCAAACCAAACCTTTGAAGATCTATGTGAAGAATCTCCAGGAGGCCTGACAATTCCTTAAAGTCCCTTCTGTCACTTGTGATGCTAGACCTGAGGACGCCTTGCTACTGCCTTTGTTGCCCCTGGGGAAGGCTTCTGCCATTCTGCCTGGAAACTCAGTCTAGCCTGCTGGAGGCCACGTGAAGGCAAACTGAGACACCGAGCTGCCAGCCAGCAGTTACAGCAGGAAGTGAGTGAGGCCACCTGGAACATACACCTCAGGGGGTCCCCATGGCCGCAGCTGCGTGAGTGAGCCCAGGGGAGACCAGCCAAGGCCCAGCCCAAACTGCAGAATCGTGAACAAAGAAATGGGTGTTGTTTTAAACCACTACATTCTGATATTATTTGTTACACAGCAATAAGTAACTGATACCTTAAATAAAGATATATACCTTATACATATAAAAAATATTTGACATTGATTGATTTAATAAATGTACCAAATACAATTTTTAACCCACAGCTAAGTATTAAGGGCTTGCTGGTATGTATGTGCTCGACTTTCCTCTTCCTTGGTTTCGGTTGACATTTTCAGTGTCAATACTCACTTTTGGAATGTCTTCTGTCAGATGTGTCCGTGTGACCTGGTCTCTCACTGGCTCACCAGCTGCTTGTTCCATTTCAGCTCCAAATATGGTCCTATTTGCGATCTACTTTTCTCTTCTTAAAGACAGATTTAGAGACAGACATTTATGTTGTATAAACCAAAATATCTTTTAGCCGTTAGAATTTTGCGTGGATGCCACCTCCCTGTCAAGTTTTCACAAAGAGCTGAACCCCGGCTGTGGCTGTTGAATGAAGCACTTGGCTAGCATTCCTGTGAAGCAGGTTGCTCTCTCAGAGAAGGGCATAACTGGGCCCACAGCTCACCATATACTTGCATATACTCTATACTTAGAGGTGGAATGGAGAGCCAGTTAAATAACCTCATTCATCGGTTACAATAAAAAGAACATCTCTGGCACTGTAGCTTTTCCCATGGCACTCACGTGGTTTGATTATTTTCTGTTTCTCTTGTGTTGATCATTAGACTGTGGCAGGGCAGAGGGAAAAGGCACAGACCTAGGGGCTCCAGGGCTCCAGTCCCAGCCCTATCACAAACTGTGTAAATCTGCTCAAGTCATGTCTCTTTGCTGCAGCTCAGTTTCTCCATCAATAAAATGGACTTAGTACTCATCCTCTTGTGCCAGGGCACAGGACGCTGGGAGGGGGAAGAGTGTGAGAGGAGACAGCGCTCTCCTTGGTAAAATTAAAGCCACCCTGACTATGGGTGGAAGAACTCAGAGTGTCTGGGGCCATCAGAAACCCTTGGGAAGTGGTCAGAGTACAGTGGGGACTGAGTGGTTCACAACCAGGAGACAGTCGCGAAGCACACAAGCTGACAAAGTCCCATAATGATACCAAACAGAAGAGTAGTTTAAAGAGAAGCTTTAGTGACAGCCCTTGGGAGGCTATGCTCTCTTCATTCAGCAATAATACTGAATTGCAAAGAGAAGCTGTTCAATTTCGGGTTATGATGTATTTGGTCTTGCATCTGTTTTCTTGCTAGTGGTCAATTTACTCAAGTCATAGATCCCCTGACATCTGAAGACAGCAAAATCCATGATAAAGAAAACAGTCTAACTGCCTACAAAAGACTAGATTCAGACAATACTCTTTGGTGAGGAGGTATCAGGCAGGCAGACAGCCAGCACTGGGGTCTCAAACACTGTGACTGCTCCAACCCAATTCCACACCTCGAGTTACACACACACAGTCATGTGTCCTTGTAGGAACCAAAATGGCCTTGAAATAGACGTCCTCAATCTCTGATGGGGCAATTTTGGGGAAACATATTTCTGAAACCATAATGGAAGCTATCAGGAAATATATTTCAAAACTTCTTTTCATGGACCTTTTCAGAATGCATATAATGAATAAGCAAAGTTGACCTGGAGTTCTATGCCTATCCCCTCCCTCTCTCTATCCCATAATCCTCCTTGTGTTGACAGGGGGCCCTGTCATCTGTTCACCCTAAACAGATGTGACTGGTGAGCTCTGACTCACTGGGCTCAGTGTGTACCAGCTGGGGAACAAGAATTTCGGCGCTTGCACCGAGGTCCAGCAAACAGAGTGCGCTAGGAGTTCTGTCTGCCTTGTTCACCACTGTATCTCATCATGAACACAGTGCCTGGCACAAACTGAGCACCCACATCTCCACTGGCCCCATGAGTACATGGCGTGTGCACATGCCAGGCAGACTCCCTTCTGCTCTCCACCACATACACACAGACGCCTGTCTAAGATGCTACATTCATGAATACCCACTGCCGGCTTCTCACTCAATTTCTCCAGATACTCAGGGAAGCATGATGAAATGAGAGGGCAGACAGCATTTGGAGTGATGCAGTCACAAGCCAAGGACACCCTGACTTCAGACTTCTGGTCTCCAGAACTGTAAGAGGATAAGTTTCTGTTGTTTTTAGCTACCAAGTTTGTGGTCATTTGTTACAGCAGTCACATGAAATCAACACAAGTTTTCTTTGCAGTCCTGAACTCCAAATAGCACAGCTGCCACTTCCATAGCCCCCCTGTACTAGTAGAAAAGCAAGAAGCCTTAAAGCCTGCTCTCCCCCAGTCTCTCGGGGATGATCCGGGAGGTGAAAGAAGAACCCATCCTGCCCCTGTGGATCCATACTGTTCAAACAATGCTCACGCGATCCTCAGCAAAGCAGCCTCTTGTAAGAACAAAATCAAATCTGCTTTATCTCGAGTTATACACACATTATAGTAAAGTTTGTAAATACTATAAGCCAGATAAGAATTTTGGTGATACTTAGCCATCTCTAAGGAACAAGGCAGATCCCACTGGCACCCCTCAACCTAAATCCCCCATGTGCTACACGGTAGGGGTAAAATGCACATCAAGAAGAGCTCTGATTGAATAGACATTTCTCCAAAAAACATATACTTTACACATGGCCAACGAGCACATGAAAAGATGCTTAACATCACTAATCATTAGGGAAATGTAAATCAAAACCACAATGAGATATCACTTCATACCCATTAGGATGGCTATTATCAAAAAAACCCAGAAAATAGAAAATAACAAGTGTTGACAAGGATATAGAGAAACTGGAACCCTTGTTCACTGCTGGTGGGAATGTAGAATGGTGCAGCTGCTGTGGGAAACAGTACGGTGGTCCCTCAAAAAATTAAATATAGAATAATCATAGGATCAAACAATCCACCAAACAATATCCCCCAAAATTGAAAGCAAGGATTTGAACAGATATTTTTACACCCATGTTCACGGCAGCACTATTCACAGAAGCCAAAAGGTGGAAGCAACCCAAGTGTCCATCGACGGATGAATGGATAAGATGTGGTACACACACACACACACACACACACACACACACACACACACACAATGGAATACTACTTAGCCATAAAAAAGATGAAATCATACCATTTGTGACAACATAGATAGACCTTGAGGATATTATGCTAAGCAAAATAAGTCAGATGGAGAAGGTCAAACACTGTATGATTTCACTCATACGTGGAAGATAAACAAACACATAGATAAGGAGAATAGATTGGTGGTTACCAGAGGGTAAGGTGGTAGGGGGAGGGTGAAAGGGGTAAAGGGACATAAATGTATGGGTGACAGATGGAGATCAGACTTGGTGGTGAACACGATGCAATCTATACAGAAGCTGAAATATAATGATGTACACAATGTTATAAACCAATGTGACCTCAATAAAATAATAAAAAGTAAAAAAAAAGCAAATGTGGTATATACATATAATAGAATACTATTCAGCCTCAAAAAAGAAGGGAATTCTGCAATATGCAACAGCATGGATGAACCTCAAGGACATTATGTTTAGTGAAATAAGAACCTTGGGGACATTATGCTAAGTGGAAGAAGCCAGTCATGAAAGGACAGATACTGTATGATTTCACTTGTATGAGGTCCCTAGAGTAGTCAACTGAGAGATAGAATGTAGGATGGTGGGTCCCAGGGGCTGGGGGAGAGGGAGGAGGAGTTAGTGTTTAGCAGGTATAGAGTTTCAGTTCTACAAGATGAAAGAGTTTTAGGGATGGATGCACAGCAATGTAATTGTACTTGACGCCCCTGAACTGTATACCTACAAATGGTTCAGATGGTCAATTTTCAGTTCTGTCTATTTTACCACACATACACACATAGCTCTGAATGGGAAAATAAGACCTCAAAGAGCATGTTCTAGGGGCTGGGATCGTTAAGGTTCACACATCGGAAGCCTCAAGTCTTTTTCCTTTAAAACAGTAGGTCTTTGAATCCATTAGAAACCAGTATGTATGCCCTCTATACACACTGGGACAAAGTCTTAGGCTAAAAATGACCTAGGAAAAGAGACCCACATTCTAATGGTGAAATCCAAGTGCCTCGCTCAACTTCTGGGCAAGGGGAAGAGGGCTGCTGATAGGATTCGATGAATAGAGAAGTGAGTGAGCCCAACTCCTCCTTCCTGCTGGGGAAAGTTCCCTGCCACTGAGTCCTGGAGACAAAAGGAAGGGATAGTCTGTCCATTTCAAACCAGATAGAGAGAGAGAGAGACACTCAAGTGTTCTCTTCTTCAAAAACATGGGAGATCAGCCTCTTTGTAAATGGAAATGCAGAGCAATTCAGAGGGGTGTGTTGGGGTAGCTGGGGTCCTGCCTGCTGCCTTCCATGGAGTCAGTGCGGGAAGCTAAAATGTGGCTACTGCAAGCTCATCACTTTAGTCCATGGACAGACAACATCTGCCTGTGCAAGAAAAATGCAAAGAGGACTTAAGACAAAACGCACTTCCCCCAGGACTCAATCAGCTCAACCTTGTCTTTTCATGGACCTGTGGGGCCTCTCTGCTTGTCTGTTTACTTTTAGGACACAGAAAGGCCCTGGCTTTGAATTTGTGCTGGCCACTGAGAAACTCATCGGCATCCTGCGAGCTTTAGCTAATGCTGTTCCCTCTGCCTGGAATATCTTCCCCTCCTCTCCATGGTGAGTTTCTCCTCATCCTTCAAGGCCTAGCTCAACTGTCACCTCTGCGAGACCTTGTCCCCCTCCCCAGGCAAGGTTAGCTGCCTCCTTAGCACTCATTTCTGCTCCCATTCTGACACTTAGCACGCTGGTTTATACTTTTTTTCCACGTCTGTCTTGGCTCACTAGGCTGTGAGCTCCTGGAGGGCCAGCAAAGAGCCTGGAACGGAGTACAGGTTGAATTGTGCTACTGCAGCTGGCCTAAGAGGCCTCATCTGTAGAGCAGCAATCCTTCCTGCTGACCTCACAGCCACTGTAGGGCTCAAAGAAGAGACGTCCAGTGACTTTCCCAAAGTCACACTGCTGGTACACGGTCAAGGCAGAATTTGTGGTTGTTCCTTCTACTCTGGCAGGATGCCACCCCGCAGACTGACTGGGAAGTAGGGTGTGAAGGGACATGACGTTAGAAGGACTAGGAGGGGCAAAACTGGGCAGAAGGCTCAGATGCCAGGCTGAGTGTGGACTTTATTCTGCAGTCACGGGAAGCCTCCGAAGGTTTCAGAGCATGGGGGTGACCTCAGCAGAGCTGTGAGAAGCAGGAAACAGGGGGCCTACTTGCCAGTTGCTCAGCAGAGATTTACCAAGCACCCACCATGTGCCCCTCCCTACTCCAGGTACTGGAGGGCCAGCTGTGAACAAAACAGAGCTGCCTGCTATCCTGGAGCTCACCTCCTAATGGATGGGTAATAAAGAACAAAATAAAGAAGTAAAATACACAGTAGGTTAGAAGGTGATACATACTATGGGAAAAGAGTAGAGCAAGGTGCAGGGCTTGGGGGTACTGGGGGCTGCAGTGCTAAATAGGGTGCTTAGGGTGGCTCACTGAGAAGGTGACAGTTGAGCAAAGACCTGGAGGAGGGAAAGAAGTGAACCAGTAGGCAGAAGGAACAGTAGGAGCAAAAGTTCTAAGGCAGGAAGGAGCCTGTGCATTTGAGGCCAGCAAGGAAGTGTCCCGGGGCCACAGCGAGCCAGAGGAGGGGTGGGGGTGGGGGGAGTCATGCCAGACCTTGCAGACCATGGTGAGAACTCTGGCTTCTGCTAGGTGGGAGGCTGCTGCTGAAGGCCTGAATTGGAAGAGGAGCCACAGAGGTGGAAAAGAGAAAAGAAATGGCATTCGAGGGGGAGAACTGATAGAACTTGGAGGCTGGTTAATGGGGACGGGACAGGAAAAGAAAGAGTCAAATATGACCAAAAGGTTTTCGACCTGGTTCATGCTCAAAGGGGAAGAGGGCAAAGGGCAGAAGGTCAGTGAACACTTTAATTTAACGGACACTAATAAATCTCAGGCTTTTCTCAGCCTGAGAAACTTATGCTCTGTCCCCTGCCTCCCTAAATGCTGCCCCAATGCCCAGAGGAGATGCAGGTAAGGGCTGAGAGCCACGGAGCGCTCTTACACTGAGCTGGCTGAGGAGGGCAACCCTGGACCTCCAGCTCCACTGCTGCAGCTCCATTTCAGCCACACCCTTGCACATGCCCCCTTGTAGTTCTCCAAGCACGCCTCACACTTCCAAAACTCCTCAGGGTGTCTCGACCTGGAATGCTCCTCCCTATCGGCCTTGAGTGTTTGGGTGTCAAAAAGAGTATATCTTGATGACTTCTCCCCCTCATGCTCGCTCATATTTCCTTCACTCTCTTCAAAGTCCGTTCCCCGCTCCCAGCTCACCTGCCTGGGCTGCTTTTAGCCAGGTGAGAACTAAAGTGATCCTCTCTTGGAATCTGGTCTGGGGGACGGGGCTGCTTTCGACGAGACACCCTCAAAGATCCTCTGCTGGATTCAGCTTCTAAGGCACAGCCGTCTGAACCTCTGCGACAATGCTCGGCCTGTCCCTTTCCTTCTCTGGATCTCAGTTGCTCTGTCAGTACAGTTTCCACTCCAATACCCAAGGTCAGGGTCTTCTCTGGCCCCTCTGACCCTAATTCAGTCTTAGGCCGGACCAGAAAGCACCCGACCCGGATCGTCCACCCAGCCCCTGGCCCTCCCGCCCTGTCGCCGACTCAAGGCAGCCTCCAAGAGCGAGGTGGCAACCCTTACTTGTCCGTAGGCGCCCTCCTGGCCGGCCTCTGACAGCACGCCCGCAGACAGCACCCACACACCTCCAGCCGCCGGCGACCACCCTTTTCGCTCTGCCGCATGAGCTGAGGATCAGCCGAGCCTCCTCCACTAAGGGGATTGGCTCGGCTTGGAGCAGGCTCAGCCAATCGGCGCTCGCGGCGTGATCCTGCCCAATGAGGCCAGGTCTTGGCCGCGAGCGCACCGCCCCCCGCCCCGGCCCTGGCCTTTGTCGGGTTAGCCCCACCCACTCCAGCCCTGCGCCAATGGGGAGCGGGGGCCGCGCGCGCGGGACAGTGGGATCGGCGCCGAGTCAGTGTGTACGTCGGTTGCCGTAACAACAGGCAGCGGAGTCGGTCGGAGATGGTGAGTGCCGGCAGCCCTGTCGCGCCTGGCGGGCAGAGGCTGAGCCCTTCCTAGGCCTCGGCCTGGCCCCGCTGCCTTTGCTGCGCCGTTCTTGGCTTTGGCGCGGCCCTCCTTCCTCTGAACTCTTTCCCGGAAGAGTAGGGTAGAGACGCCGGGCGCCCTGCTGGGCCTGTGATTCCCCGCTGCCTCCCCTTCACCCACAGCCGGCCTCAACCCGCCCCTTGGGCTCCACTGGCCTTCCCCGGCCCCCTCGGTGACCGTCAGTGGGCAAAGAAGACTCGGATTCCCCGCAGGTCTCAACGCTTCTCAGACGCTGGCCTCCTGACCGCCTCGCTCTACCAAAGTTTCCGCACAGAGCTGGGGGGAGGTTTATTATGTTTGATTGTTAACGTGCATTTTACAATGTAAATATAGGGACATTTGCGAGACGCTTTGAGCTTCTTGGAGAAGGCACAAATGTACCGAGTGGATTGAGTTTTATTATTCGATATTGACAGGCTATACATCTTAACTTAGTAATATTTGGCCAAATCTAGAAGTAATCAGAAAGTACTTAGAGGGAACTGGAGTACCGCAAGTGGGTGTTGTAAGGACGTTTCTATAATTAGGATCCCCCAATTCAAGGAGAGCTGATCATCTGTACAGTTATCCACAGTCAGCTCCTTGGCTAGCTCTCTTTGGGGGTGATTTTCAACAAGAGATATCCAAAAGAACAATTCTTGGAAACCATAGTAAAGAAGAGAGAGGGATAGAGGTGCATGGAAAGACTCATTATTCTTTCCAGTAAACTCTATTATCTCTTCTGTTAAGCAAAGCTTTGGAATTGGTTGGTATAAACTATTTTTAAAATAGATATGGTTGTCTGTAACTTTTATGTAAAGTATGGACTAAATTGCATAATATTGTGCTTATGTGTTTGTAAAATGTCTGAAGGCCTCCAGCTTTAAGAAGGCAAACATGGCATCAACTGCCCAGCGAAAAAGGATGAGTCCTAAGCCAGAGCTTACTGAAGAGCAGAAACAGGAAATCCGAGAAGCTTTTGATCTCTTCGATGCTGATGGAACTGGGACTATAGATGTTAAGGAACTTAAGGCAAGCCCTGTGCATTCCTGCTCTGCTGCCTTGCCTTTCCTCTGCCTCTTTATCTTCTTTCCGCTCTACCCCTTTTGCCCTCTTCTCCCTCCAAAAAATAACAGGGGAGGATGCACTGTGCTCTGTTTTCCTGTTTTTACTTACTTCAAGTATTATTAAATAAAATTGAGCACAAATATCGATTTGCTTAATGTTATAGTGTTTCCTAATCATTTTAACATGATTGTGTCTGATGCTGGCTCAATAGTCTCAATGCTGTCATTTTTTCTCCCTCTAGGTTTAGATGTGCTTATTGAGATGATCCTGTTTTCGTTGTAGGTGGCAATGAGGGCACTGGGATTTGAACCCAAGAAAGAGGAGATCAAGAAAATGATCAGCGAAATTGATAAGGAAGGGACAGGAAAAATGAACTTTAGTGACTTTTTGACTGTGATGACTCAGAAAATGGTAAGTTAGCTAAAATAATCAGCATATTTTCCACCCATAATGCTGCATACATTTGAATCATGTAAGTGTCTTCACTGAAGAAAAGTTAATACAAACTGGAGAGTTCAGCTGATAAAGGATAGTATTTGTAACTGAAAATTAGGATGCTTCGGTTCTACTTAGCTTTCTTCAAGGCCACAAAGTCACAAGGAAAGTCATTTTACCCTTTGTAAAGTAGTAAAAGTACTACTGCTGTCATTTTTTGCTATTATCTTTCTCCAACTGATTTGTCGGTGTGATAACCACAAGCAGTAAAGCCTATAAACATCAACAATATTACAGTGCCTTGCATTTTGACAAGATGAAGTCCCTATACCTTGAAGTTTGAAATTCTTCTCTCCCCCATTCGTTGTTTTTTTTTTTTTTTAGAGATTTTATTTATTTATTTATTTATTCCCCCAAAGCCCCGGTAGATAGTTGTATGTCATAGCTGCACATCCTTCTAGTTGCTGTATGTGGGACGCGGCCTCAGCATGGCCGGAGAAGCAGTGCATCGGTGCACACCCAGGATCCGAACCTGGGCCGCCAGCAGTGGAGCGCGTGCACTTAACTGCTAAGCCACGGGGCTGGCCCCTCCATTCGTTCTTCTGGTCAGCATTAACCTGAGGGCCAGTTACTTCAGCAGCTGTGCTTTTTGCTTTTCTTCGCTCTTCGCTGCACTGGGGGGTTGGTCTTTCAGCACTTCTGAGGTTGAATTTACCCATTCTCCAGTCTCTTAGGTGTCACTCTTTTAAAGGGTCTGAAGGGTCAAGAGAGACTGTAAGATGTCACCCCACCAGTCCACCTCACTCCCCTGAGTGTCATCCCATCCAGGAAGAATGTTCCCATTGGGCCATTGCTCTTTTATTGGCCTCCTAGCTCCTCTTTAGTGTGGCTCATCTATGCTGTACTGGTCTGTGGAAAAGTAACTCCATCAGTGCCTCAGGTGTGTTTCCCAGGGCACAGGTCAGTTCCTATTCTAATAATTCTGTTGCTTTGAAAGCATCTAATCATACCTATATTTTTCTTTGTGGACTAATTTAAGAGCTCAGGAAGCTTGACATTCTGTGACCACGTAGTAAAGCTGTCCCACATTCAAGGTTGGTTCCCAAATTGGTCTTATGAGGGCTTCTCTCTATCTTTAACCACCTTGCAGGAATATTGGGAGTTTGAGCTCTTGGAGATTTTGCTCTTTTCCCCTGTTGGAGTACTTGGGATCTCAGTAACTCTCTGTGATCTCATAACAAGTAAAATAGCCCTTTCTTTCCTCCCTGCCCACCAAGAGAATCCCTCTTCCACCAACTTAAGCAGTATGTTTCCCCTAATTTTAACTCCATCCTCTGCTCCTATATTTTAAAAACAAATCCAGTTTCTCTTTGGTTTGTACAGAATGTTTTAAGTGCAATCCTTTATATTTCCTTTTGAGCCTCTGGGTTTGTAATAATTTCATTGAGTTTGTCCTCTTTTTCTACACTGGGTGATGTGTGATCTCCTGTGACCTGGGCCCTATGTCATGAAGGCCGTCACCAGGACCGTGTGGTGCTGTATGGGCAGGGCAGAGGAACAGCAAGCAGTGTTTCCCTACTCATGTGTTTTATGTTCTACTTGTTCAGTCTGAGAAAGATACCAAAGAAGAAATCCTGAAAGCTTTCAAGCTCTTCGATGATGATGAAACTGGGAAGATATCATTCAAAAATCTCAAACGCGTGGCCAAGGAGTTGGGTGAGAACCTCACTGATGAGGAGCTGCAGGTTTGTAATGTGGCAGACTGGAACTCAGAATTCCTGCTTGGAGCCCTGTTTTACTTTTCTGAGTTACAGTTTCTCTGATGTGAGCACAGCTTTGAAGGAAAACTAGTGTTCTCTTGTCCGTCTGCTGACCACTTAATTTCTCTTTTGATAATGTGACAAACCTCTGGGCCCTGCTCTCAGAAAGATGCACATGTATACAATTTTACTATTTTAGGTTTTAGGGATCCCCCTAGTCAAGATGGTTTTCGAGCTCCCTTCTAGGTGATATGTGTGACAAAGTATGACTGGTTTTCAAATAACTTTTCAGGAACCAAGCTATTATAAAAAGCACACTTCCATTGAGTGGACTCAAGCTGTCTATTCATGTAGCATTATAAAAGCCTATTGCTTAGTAATATTTTAGTTTCGTTTATGAATTAATCTAAGTGGAATCCTTACTGGCATGCAGGAGATGATTGATGAAGCTGACCGAGATGGAGATGGAGAAGTCAATGAGCAAGAGTTCCTGCGCATCATGAAAAAGACCAGCCTTTATTAAGATCGGTCTCTTCTTTTCTACTGCAAGCACATGTATCTCGATTTAGTGCCTGCCATTGTGTGAAACCTGCTTTTTGAGAACACAACCTCTTTTTCCCCCATTGACCTCCCTGTATAACTTTAGTAACAACCTCGCATCTTAGACTCTTGAAACTGTTCTTTGACATTGAAATTCTTTGTAAGGTGACCTGCTGATTACTTTAATTCCCCAAAGCAGAATGAGAGCACATTAGAGTGGAGAAAAGCTTTTACCCACCTACCTTTCTGCCTTTTATCGCTTTGCTCTTATCATGCGTTCCCACATTTGTATCACCACAGAACGACTTCTTAGAAAAGCACATGTACCCGTGTCACCACAAGCAGGGAGCATCTCTTCAATGGTTCCAGTTTTAATTGTCACCTGAGTGCAGGTTTCCCTTTTATAAAACCCAGTGATCTCTCTCACTTGCATTTGGATGTGTGTTTATGCTATTTGTTTTGTCTTAAAAATAAAGCCTTTCTTATTTTGAGCTTTTGTTCGCTAAGGATGAGTTCTTTAGCCTTCACTATGAGTTCATCTTCTAAAGCACTGTGTGGAAGGCAGCCTGGTAGATCCCAGACTCCTTACCGGCCCGTGGACAGAAAACGAAATAATCTTTTGCTACTGGCATGAATTGTTTCTTGCCCTGGGAACCCGTCGGTGTGTAAAACTAGTAGACTTTCTATTTTGCCAAAGCCTAAATGATGCCCTAAAAATAGTTTTGGCAAAGTGTAAGGCTGAAAAAGAGGCTTATTGGTAATTTGTGCTTGGACAAATCGGAGAAAGCCTGGTTATTATGACATTAGGTTGAATTCAGCCAACCTCTGGTCAGTTTATTGGCTGGATAGTGTGTCAGAATCTCGATATCAGGTTGGCTGAGTGACCTTGTCCAGCCCCATCTTGGCCCTACACGGAATGACCTATAAGAGAAGCTCTGGCAGATAGCATTTAAATCTCTGCCCCAGGCTGAGAGTGGGGAGCAAGAAGGGGTGAGGGGGAATGGAAACACACAACAACAATGGAATGCTCATTCAAGCATAGGAGGGGAGGGAGGGAATGGGTTTCACACTTCCGGGGGCATCCTAATCCTGGGATAGGGTTGCCTGATTTAACTAATAAAAAGAGAACACCTGGGTCAATTTGAATTTCAGATCAACCACAAACTTTTTTAGTATAAGTATATCCCATTTGGACTTGTTTATTTATTCATTGTTGGTCTGAAATTCAACTTGACCTGAGTGTTTTGTATTTCAACTTGCAACCCTAGGTGACCCTGGGCCTCATCCTAGGGGACTTGGGGCCCCTCAGACACGTCTCCTGCATGAGTGACTGCTCCTTGAAAAACATGGGGATGTAGGGGAGCCCAGAGTACCCTCAGACTCGGGTTCTCACACAGGCTACACCACTTCCTGGCTGCGTAATCTGGGGCAAACTACTTCTCCGAGTGCCTCAGGTTCCTTGTCTGTGCAATGGGGAGAAGAGTTGTGCTTAACTCAGGATCTCTGGGGGTCCAATGAAAACTGACATCAAGGACCTGGCTTTACCATGTCCAAGAAGGAGGCATTTCAGAAGTGTTTGTTCTCGCTCTCAGTCCTTTGGTATGCTTGTCACATAAGCTTTCTTGTTAAAAGTGGGTCCATGAAGCTTTATGATTACTGTCGCCAAAATCGAGTTGACAGCATTTGCTGGGAGGATTTGACCTTTGTCACACTGCATTTTCTAATAAAAGGCATATTATCTGATAAAAGACATACACTATTGGAAAGGAGTGAGAAGACTGGGCCCTACTTCCCGTTTTACTGTTAACTATCACCCTGGAAACATTCTTATCTCCTCCTGCTTAATGTTCTCATAAATGAAATAAAGTCAGGAATCTTGTGGGGGAAGGAAGAGTGGCAAGTAACGTGTTATCCCTAAGGATAAAAGCAAGCATAAGTTGCTCGCCATCCGTGCCTGGCAGCCATTCTAAGATAGGCTTGCAGTTGCTTGGTGGAGGGGATGGGGACAGACCAGTGGATGTGGGATGGGAGCAGAGAGTCGCAGGGGCGTCAGGAAGATGGGGACTGAGAGGGAACTGGGGCCAGTTCATATGGAGGCAAACAAGAGAGCTGCAAGGGGGTGGGGGGATGTTGATGGAGAAGGGGCCGGGGTCAGTTCATGTGGGGCTGGACCAGATAGATGGAGGGGTTGGGAGGGATGGGGAAGGAATGGTAGGAAGGTCAGTGCAGGTGCAGATGATGCAGAGAGTTGTAGAGTGAGTGGAGGGTGATGGGGAGGGAGGAGAGCAGAGGTCAGCTCACAGGGGGCTGGACCAAGAGATCTAGGGGATATGGCGGATTGTGGGGTGGGGACAGAGAAGTAGAGGTTAGTTTCTGTGGGGCTGGATCAGGGAGATGTATGGGGAGTGGTTAGGTAAGATCTTGAGTGTGTGGGGGTAGATAGAGAGGGAGAGGCAGGGTAGGTCAGCTCATGAGGGTAGTCTATAGACCTGGAGGGGGATGAAGGGAGATGGGCAGGGAGAGAGAGGGAAGAGGAGTCAGCCCTTGCGGGTGGACCAGAGAGATGTAGGGGGAATGGCGAGGGGGTGGATTTGGGGAGGTAGTAGAAGTCAGTTAAATTGTGGATGGACCAGAAAGTTATTGGGGAGTAGGAGGGGACTGAAAAGTAGTGGGACCAAGGTCAGTGCATATGGGCAGGAAAGAGTGAGTGAGGGGAACGGGAAAGGGGAGGGAAAGGGAGCAAGGGTTAGTTCATATGCAGATGGACCAAAGCTGTGGGGGCTTGGAGGTGATGGGGAGGGGAAGGGAGCTGGTGTTAGTTCATGTTCAGCCCTGCAGAGAGCTGTAGTGAGATCAGGGGCGATGGGGAGGGAAGGGATACAGAGGTCAGTTCATGTTGGACTGTACCAGAAAGCTATAGGGGAGTTGCGGTGGGATTTTGACATAGAGAATGCAGAGATTGGTTCATGTGAGGATGAACCCAAGAGCTCTATGGGAGTTGAGGGGAAGGGAGAGGAGGAGGGAGCAGAAGTTCCTTCATATGATGCTTGACCAGAAGTATGCAGGTGGAGTGAGGGGAATGGGAGCAGAGGTTAGTTCATGTGCGGGTGTAATGGAGAAGTGTAGGGGTGTGGAGGGATAGAGAGTGAGAGAGGGCGTTCCATGTTGGGCTGGGTATTGGGAAGGAGAGGGAGTTGAAGTTAATTGATGTAAGATGGTCCAGAGAGAACCACAGGGAGGGAAGGTGATACACATTATGGGAAAAGAGTAGAGCAAGGTGCAGGGCTTGGGGGTACTGGGGGCTGCAGTGCTAAATAGCGTGCTTAGGGTGGCTCACTGAGAAGTGACAGTTGAGCAAATACCTGGAGGAGGGAAAGAAGTGAACATTCTGAGTCCACAGGCCCAACAGGAACTGACTTTTTCTCCCACCCCATCCTACCCACCTTCCCTCCTCTAAAGTCTTTTCTTTGCTAGAAACAGCTGGATTCACCGGTAGCCATACTCAGGCTTGATATAAACAGAATCTATCTACTAGGAATTTTGGCAGCACACTCAAAGGGAGTTATACGCTCAAAACAAGACTTTACCCACAATTACCACTCAGTCACCCCTCCACAGAAAACAGCCAGCAAGCATCCCACCACACACTTAGTCACTCTTTGGTTTGGCAAGAACTGCTTGCTACCTGATGGTGCTCCCTCACGAAGCCAAGTTCCCCTACAGTCCAGGAACTACCCTTTTTTGAGCCCTCCATGGCTGTTGTGATAAGTGTCTTAACAGCAAGTGGCTCCCTCCTCCACTCCATGTCTCATGACCTGCTCAAATCAACATCCTGTATTCTAGAAGTTGCTGGAATATCGTGCATCTTCAACTGTAGCAAAAGAACGTCTGCATTGATTGCAGCTGTGAAGCAGTGACACCACCGTAGTGTGTCATGCTGTGACATATCGGACACATTTGGTGACCCAAATGTGCATCAGCAGCACCCAAAACTCTCACAGGGGGTCCAGGCCTGTTTCTAGACACATCACCGTCAGAACTTGATGTGTCTGGAAGCCAAGTCACCTCTTCTCTAGCTTCTCTCCGCTGACCCAGTTAACTACCACCTTCTCCCTTTTTCTTTCTGATTGTTATGGTTTAGAGGCCCGTCATGTTCATTTCCTTTTTCCTCTTTACCCTGAACATCTAGTATGTCGCCAAGATTTCCCTACAGTAGTAACTCTGATCCACCCCTTCCTTTTTCATTTCTGAAGCTACTACCTCAACCCAAATTTGGATTGCTGTAAGGTCCTCCAAGCTGCTTTCTCTGTCCTGTCTTTTCCCAAGATGATTTGCACTACCATCTTTCTCATGCCACTATCTTGCTCAGGGTAATAACTTGGCCTTTAGACTCAGTCATCCCTGGTTTAAATCTAAACTCTTCTACTCAGCAGCTGTGGCCTTAGGGGGATGTGACTTAACTGTCTTGAGCCTCAGTTTCCTCATCTAGAACACAGGGGTACTGTAAGATAGTGTTGACACCTGGCGGGCATGCAGTGGCTGATGCTCCCACCCACAGCCTCATGGAGAGCCAATCCACTCCTCTTGGCCACTGACGATCACTGTCCATTAGCCTGTTTTTCTTTTTATCTTAACTTGGACTGTTCTGTCCTTAATAAGCGCCTACGTGTGTTACCCTTGGTATAGAATTAATTTCTATCCATGTGCTTAGGCCTCTGCCATTGTCCCTATTGAAATGTTGCCCCCATCTTTTCCCTAAATCTGTGTTCTTCTCTTCATATGAAACTCCCTCTCAGAGCTCCCTCCTTCCGAGAAAACTTTTGTTTGAGAGTAGAGAGGACTTGTGGACTGCTTCCCAGCTGGAATTCTGAGACAGCAGCCTTGCAGATGTGTCTTTTGCCACTAGGTGGGGTGCCAGGACAGATAGGGAAGACAGCCATCTACAAGCCAAGGAGAGAGGCCTGGAATACATCCTTCCCTCAGCCCTCAGAAGGAACCAACCCTGCCCACACCTGGATCTTGCACTTCTGGCCTCCAGAACTAAGAGACAATACATTTCCGTTGTTGAAGCCACTCAGTGTGGTACTTTGTTTCGTCAGCCCCAGCAAACTTGTACCTCTCTCTCTCTTACTGAAAAACTTGCCCTGTTACCCCAAGTGTCCTGACCAGAAGTGCACATGGTGATGTCAAGGAAACAAAACCTGGACTTGGAATCTCTGCTGCAGACCTCATTGCCCCATGGACGCTGGATGTGGCCTCTCCTGAGACATCCATGATCACACTGGGGTCTGCAGCACTGCCGCCTGAAAGCTTTTTTCTCAATTTGGAGTGTAAGATTGTACATGGATGTGAGGCCATCTCCTTAGGAGATGTACGTGGGAAAATACTTGTGCAATCTCTCATACAAATAGGTCCAAAAGGTACACTGATGATTACAAACTGAGTCGGAAAAGCATGGGAAAGATGAGTAAGTAGAGTCAGGGTGACA